GAAATTATGGAAAATTATGAAATTTCTGGGGCGCCTGTGGAGGAAATCGAATCCGTCACCACGCACTTCGTATTACATTTTGTAGCTTGTTTTCAATAAGTATATAAATTGTCCAAAGAGGTTGTATTCTACAGTCTGCCTGAATGTAATCATTGCGTAGGTGTGTAGTGTGATTCTGTGTAGTTTATTTATGGCATCCCGTTGGATTTGACGTCATCTGAACAGGACATCGCACGCTCACTGCTTGATAGCGCGCGAAGGCCCGTTTACGCCGGTTGTTAAACAACATCGTTATGGGGAAATGCAAGTCTGCGTCCAAATGGTTGGAAGATAAGGAGGAAGGACAATCAATACTGTATATAGTCAATGTGTGGTAAAGTGTGTCGCCAAGGTAACCGGTTAAAACTCAAAGTGGCGATGAGGTCTTAAAATGTATGGAAAGGGTCTTAGAAAGATACAACTGACAAATAAACAAGAACAACTCCCAAATTAATAACAATAAACACTTTTTATCTTTGGAGAAAAACTCTTGGAGAAAAGAACTATCTCTGACGCTTTAATCCGACACTACATTTCCAAGAAAAAACTATTTGCATTCAATCAGAGTCTGGAGTGAAAAACTTTTAATATTTTCTCTTTAAAGTGGTTAATCAACAAGAAAAGACTTTGATGATGTGTGAGATTAGATTCTTATAATTAGCTTGACAGTTGAATTGATGCATGACTCCTGATGCATTCTGGGAATGGTTCAAAAACACAACAACACCTCCCTCAAACTAATTAAGCTGCAAAACAAAAGCCTCTAGAAACGTGCAGATTATCAGATATTTTTTCCAGGATGATTTTTTAATATTCTGTGTGTTGCAGAGATCGAGATGCTGGTGGACGACCCCAAAGATTACGAGGAGCTTGACGAGTCGGCTCTGGATCAGGAGCTGTGTATCCACATCACTGAGGACATGTTGACCATGTCTCCAGATCACACCAACGGGTACTCAGGTACAAACACACTGTTTTCCCAATGAGGCTGGAATTTGGTGTGAAGTTGAACTGTTTCTGTGAGGTTGTTTTTGCTTTGTTGAAGCATGTACTTATTTCCATTTTAAACTGTTGTTCAGTTGACTGTAGCATGCAAAAGGTTGTTATTGTGTATTTAAATGTCTTTGTTTGTTTTCTGCAGGTCTGATAGTGAAGGAAGTGAGCTCGTCGACCTCCAGCTCTTCAGAGACCGTCGTCAAGATGAGAGGACAGAGCATCGAGTCTCTGCCCCAGGTAATACTCACAGATACTGCAATACTACTGCAATACTACTGCAATACTACTGTAATACTACTGCAATAAACTATACAATACACACAGAGGACAGAGCATCGAGCCTGCATGACTTTATGTTAATGTAATATGTATCCTCTCTCCCCCCTGCAGACGTCCTCCTGCAGGAAACCCCCCTCCTCCTCCTCGGACCGTCACTCTCAGTCTCTGGACGACGTGCGGCTGCATCAGAAGGAGATGCTGCAGTGGGCGGAGCTATGCCAAGACTCCGCCCACAGTTACACCTTCGGCTGCGCCCAGGAGCTCAGTGATGGTGGCGGGGGGGTCGGAGGCGGAGCCTATCAGGGCCTGGCCGAGCAGAGGGCCGGTCTGATGGCGGGGGAACAACAACAACAACAACAACAACAGCAAGAGAACCCCTTCCCCATCAAGAGGACCAACAAGTACTTCAGCCTGGACCTCAGCAACGAGGAGGTGCCCGAGTTCGTGGTGTGAGGAAAACATGGAGGACTGAGAAACAAACATGGAGGCCGAGAGGAGACGTCTTTAATAAACTGACAAAAAGATGGCGTTCCCTTCAGGAGTAACAAACAAACATGGAGGCGGAAAGAGATCTTAAAGACGTCTCTAACCGGAGCTGAAGCGATTCACTTTTGTATTCAACTCTGTCTCCTCCGAACTGAACCACATCGTCTGTTTCTGGTGTTTCCAGAGGAGCGTTTCCAGGACGAAAAGACAAAGGAATAACCACGGGTAACAAACAAAGATGGAGGCAGAAAGAGACGTCTTTACCCGGAGCTGCTCCCTGCGAGAGGATCTAAAGGGATCTGATTTAAAAAAACATTTGTATTGAAATCTGTCTCCTCCAAACTGGTTTTAACGACAACAGAGTTCCACAGAGCGTCTGTTTCTGTTGTTCAAGGACAGAAAGACAAAGGAATAACCACGGATAACAAACAAAATGGATGACGTCTTTACCCGGAGCTGCTCCCGGAGAGAGGAAACTTTTTTACTCAAATCTGTCTCCTCCAAACTGAACAACACCTCCTCCTTCAGTGACCAGAGAGAGACTGTTTCTGTTTCTGTGGAGGAGAGAGTTTCCAGGACAAAAAGACAAAGGAATAACCACGAATAACAAACAAAGATGGACGCCGAAAAGCTCTAAACTCAACTGAGTCCACAGAGCGTCATTCCTCTTTTTAAATTCGTTTTTTAATAAGAGGAGAGTTTCCAGAAGAAAGGAGGGAAGAAGGAGACGTCTAAAACTGGAGCTGCTGCCTGAGAGGAAACTAAATCCTCAGAAATCTAAACACCGAACCACACCTCCTGCTTCAGAGAGACTGTTTCCATTGAGGAGAGTTTCCAGGATAAAGTCACACCAACATGGAGTAACAAACAAACATGGAGGCGGAAAGAGATCTTAAAGACGTCTCTAACCGGAGCTGCTCCCTGAGAGAGGATCTGAAAAACATCCATGTTCTTCCAAGCTGGTTTTAAGGACCAGTATGTTCACTTCTCTTCTAAAGAGGAGAGCGCCATGACGGCCTCTGCACCCAGCGTCTTTTCCGGGAAATATCTCCACTTTTCAGAAAAAGCCCTCTTGATGTCAGACTTGTAATTGGAGGAGAGGCTTGTTTGGTTTGTCTTCATCGAAGCAAAGTGTTGAGTTTGTGTCGTAACGGAGGAGTTAACGCTCGGAATCAGTATCGGCCAATACCGATCGAGTGGGCGGGGCCTGTGGGGATCTTCCATTTAAAGTGATGTTTAAAGCCCAGTTAAAGGGGCTCATTCACTGGAGCTTCCACAAACAACAACCAACATAATTATTACATTTAAATGAAGTTCATTATTCAAGTTTACATTAACTTTGGATAACACGGGAGAAATGAGCAGAAGGG